GTGTTCGTAGTACGTGTGACATCCTAGGGTGCCAAGTGCATCCTTAAAAGAGGAGTGTAAATGGAATATTACTCAGTTATTTAAAAATTGAAATATTTCCAGGTAAATGAATAGGACTAAAAAAAATCATTCTGAATGAGGTCATCCAGACCCAGAAAAATAGATGTGATATGTCCTCTTATATGTGGGTATTAGCTGTTAAGTCAATAGTAAGCAGGCTACAATGTGTAGAACCACAGATGTTAGATACAGAATAAGGGACCAGGGAGGGACAGATAGATCTGCCTAGGAAAACGAGATAGATAGCTATGGATGGAAGGGGGTAGAGTGTGCTTGAAGTGAGAGAACCAAGATGGTGGAGGGAGGGAAGAGGGGGATGAGGGAGAGAACATGGGGAGGGGCAAGTAAAATTAAGAACATTTTGCGGGGTGGTATGAAAACCAAACACATTAGAAGCTTCCTAAAATAGATACATATATGAATGCAATCTAAATGAAATCACCAAGTAACAGGGAGACAGAGCCGCAACTGCTGCAGAATATTTACTTGACTATGCAAAGATGCGTTGCATTTATTTAACTACACAAAGACGAGTTGCAAAGACGCGTTGCATTTGTTTAACTATGTAAAGAGGTGGTGCTGTTTTACCTAGCCTGTCTGAGGCACCTGATTGGTCTAATAAAATGCTGAAAGGCCAATAGCAAGGGAAGTGGTATAGATGGGATTTCCAGTCAGGAAGAATAAGTAGGAGGAGGAATTTAGGCTTAGGAGAAGAAAAAAAAAGAGAGAGACACCAGGGAGATGCAAAGGACCAGACAGCCAGACATGGAGGAAGCAGAAAAGTAGGAGATACAGATGAAGGAAAGATAAAAAAAAAAAAAAGGCAAACTGTAAATGAATAGAAACAGGTTAAACTAAGTTTAAAGAGCTAGCGGGATAAGCCTAAGATAAGGCTAAGCATTAATAATAAGTCTCTGTGTCTTTATTTGGAAGCTGGTTGGTGGCCCACAGAAAATTCCAACTGGACATCTCTTGTCACCAAATGGAGCTTCCAGTACCAGGAATGAGTGACATCTAAATAAGCTGTCGTCCAAAGAAGTTCCATGGGAACCCCCAGCCCAGGCTGTGACAACACTATAGGTTGCCCTCTACAAACTGACACCGAGGGCCTATTGCTGAAGACAACACCCACACAACTCACAGACCATGGAAAAGTAGAGCTGGTGTCTCCATACAGCCTTCACCGCTATGGGCGAGTGTTCTTGGTGCTGGAAGGCAACTCTGCACACTACCCAAGGAGAAGACCAGTTACAAAGCCTTCTAATCGCAATGTTGTCCTGCCTACCAGACATGCTAGCTCAGTGGTAGCACAAAACTTCCGGGAGTAACCAATCAATATCTGATCTGACTTGAGGCCAGCTTATGAGATGGAACCTGTACCTGACTGCCTGAGTGACCAAGGACCCAAAATCAGAAAGCCCAGGGACCTAGGGGCAAAACAAATGTCATTCCACTAAAGGAGAGTAGCAACAAAATGACTCCTAATGGTATTCTGCTATACTCAAAGATCAGCCATCATCAGAGAAACTTCCTCCTACAGCAGATGGGAACAAACACAGAGACCCACAGCCAGACAATATGCAGAGAATGAGAGAGCTTGGAACACTCAGCCCTAAACAGGCTATCTCTATTAAATACCTCCCTCGGGGCTCAGGGATCACCTCAGAAGAGAAGGCAAGAAGACTGTAAGAGCCAGAAGGGGTGGAGGATACCAAGGAAACAAAGATCTCTAAACACTGGCACAGGACGGACATGCAGAAGAACTCACGGAAACTGAGGCAGAATGCATTGGGGCCTGCCTGGGTCTGCCACAGAGGGGAACCTAGAGCTGAAGGGAGAAGCAGACACCTGTCCCCATCCCTAACCCAGAAGCCTTCTTCACTTGATAGCCTCTTGCAATAAAAATGTAGTTGTCTTCAAGGGAGTCTTACCAGGGAAACTAATCTTAGGGGTAGACTACATGCCCAGGCGTAGTGAACCCAGGGGCATCTTTGCCATTTCCCTGTCTCATACTGTTTTGTCAGAGCTTTCTTTTTTTAATTTTATCTTTTTATTTTTTTAATTGTATTTTTTCTCCTTTTTTTATCCTGTGTGTCCTCTGTATGAATATTATGGCTTCCAGTTTTGTTTTCCTGTGGGATTCTTGAGCGTGTGAACAAGTGCGTCTCTGTGTCTATCTTCTGGTTTTTTGCCTTTTCTTTGGCTCTTTTCCTTCTGTATGTTCTGTCCTATCCCAATGTATTTGTTTTTATTTTACCTTTTTAATTTTATTTATTATCCCTTAAAAGACAGAAAGGGGATGGATCTAGATTGGAGGGGAGGTGGGGAGACAATGGGAGAAGTAGAGGGAGCAGAAACTATAATCAATATGTATTTTATGAAAAAAATCAATTTTCAATAAAAGAAAAAATAATAAAATAAAAACTACCAGCCTACTTAAGCTACCCCCTTTGCTTGCCTACTTTACCAAAACCTGAGACAGAAGCAGGGGGACCAAGAGTTCAAGGTCATCCTTGGCTTTATAGAGTATTCAAGCCAGCCCAAGCTACGTGAGAGTCCGTCTAAAAGAATGGCTGGGAAAGTAAGGGACATCAGACTGAAAGGTTGCCAGTGTTGTCAAGGTCAGATGGGGTAAACCACACCTCTAAGCCCAACCGTGGAGGAAAAAGACCGCCTTGGGTTCAAGAGATCAACCTGGGTTACAGTGTGAGATATACAAACAAAAAAGACAATGATAAAGGGGGGGGGAGAAGCAGAAACTGAGGCACAGATGTGAGAGGGAGATGCTGAGCATGCTTATAGGGTCTGGATACCTCAGGCAGAGGTGTCTGGCAGGCATGTTGTCTGACCACAGTCTCCTGTTTTCCCAGTATTTGCTTTGGGTCACAAGTCAATGTATCCCCATTATATCAGGATGATCCTCTTCATTGAGGCCTTCTAGCTCCAGAGCTGCTAAAGACTCTCTCACACTAGACAGATTCTCCTGGCTCTTGAGGGAGAGAGGACATATAGAAATGTACAGGATTCTGAAGCTCGTGGCTCAATGAGCATGTCGCCTTGGCTGCATTAAATAATGGAACACACACACAAATGCCACATATGAAAGAAAGACTGTCATGCAAACAGACACAAGGCTTCCCCTGCACATTGGAACTTTCAATGTGGGCGTAGTGGTGTGGGCATGAGCACGTGAGAAACAAAGGAGGACAATTGCAAGATAGAGGCCAAACTAGTCTGCAAAGGGAGTTCCAGGCCAGCCAGGGTCACATAGCCAAACCCTGTCGAAAGAAAGAAAGAAAGAAAGAAAGAAAGAAAGAAAGAAAGAAAGAAAGGAAGGAAGGAAGGAAGGAAGGAAGGAAGGAAGGAA